GGAGCATGCTAATAACCGTTAGATGTTGCGAAGCTCCAAAAAAAGGTTTGGAAGGAAATCTATGAAGCTTCCAAAGGTAGTCTTGGAAAACCACGGAGGTCGTTTGATGTTGCGATTGAACTAAGAAAAAACATAGATTATCGATTCTCTACCGGGTCTCGAACACATTGTCTACTTTCTGTACTAGCTCATGATCAAGTCACGGTGCAAAAAATAGATAAAAAAGCTATCATGAAAAAGTTCAGTAAAACGATGCCTCTACCAAAATTCGGATACGGTGGTAAACGGTGCTTACTCGTGCTGAGGGATTCGCTGTTAATGCTAGGAAAAATTCCAAAAGGCTGCCCATTCTGGAAATGCAAAATTGATAGTGAGCATATGATTATGGAACGAATGTATTTCGTACTGACGAAATATTCACTTCAGAAATGGAAGCGTAGAAACGGCACTTCGCCTAATGTGCTTCTACAAATTCAAACTCGGTCGAAGTGCAGCAGAAATGGCGCTCCTAACATAAATGATATGATGGGGTGCTTAATCAATTACTGGAGAAATAATACTAATGGTCGCAAAAGATCCCCGCTGCGAATTCGATCTTCAAAGGTAGATGGCAGGCGTAATTCTGAGCCTATCGATAGGTCACCATTGAAAAAGTTGGCAAAAAACGTCCTACTATGCTAGAACCAGCGGAAGAACTGGGTGTAGGCATGGTAATTTATTGTTGTGTATGTTGTTATATTAGGTTGGAAAGAAAGTCCTGCAACACTTTTTCAATTTTTGATTTTAATTTTATCTTTTTTTTACAACTCCTGACCGGTCATATATCTACCATGAGTGTCCACCACTTGTCTTCAACGCTCAGAAAATTTCTTGATGCTCCTTTTCCAAAACCCAGCGGAAAGCGAGTCGAGAAAGGAGGCGACCTCATTTTTGAGTTGAAGTATGGATCTACTAGTAGTCGAGGTTTTTTGAATCTTCTTGGATAACTACTGACTGCAGCACTTATATCCACCTCGTGGATTAAAGCCTTGAGAATGCTCTACCATTTGTAGTCATAAATGTTACCTATGAATTTTTCAGAAAAAAATTTTAGAAAGTGTTGCAGAACTTTCTTTCCAACCTAATAGTAGAGTCATTGTAATTGTGCCATATTTTTCATTGTCATGTTGTTTAGGAGTCTTTAATATGAACTAGGAAGTGAAAGAAGTTGGATAAATGGCTCCCTACGATTTGAGCAAGCAGCAGTGGAATCATCGGTATTAACTGTCCTCGACATCTCCTTTGCGCAACACAAAAGGCCCTATTCTTGATACCATCGTAAAATGCGACTACAATTGGCTCCTGTATGAATTTTGCGACAACCTGTTCGGTGATTGGGCAGCAACGGAGCCACTCACTACTTTTTCAAATCAGGCATGCATCGAAAGTAACTGTGTGACCGTCTGCTGCAAATTTAATTCACCTTAACATTCAAAAAACCAACAGAAAGGAATACGGTAAAAATATTGAATTCAGCACTTAGATCGAATACAGCAGACTTAGGTCGGCAAAAGACCCATTCTCACAATGCGCTTCCACACGAGGCACAACTGGTGCTACAAAAGCCTATAAAATGGGACACGAAACCGCGCTCATCCATTCGCCGAAAATATTAGGTCGGTCCACAATTTTTGAGAACCTTGGTGTTTTTCGATTTATTACTTATCTTATTTCTCTGATCTACTTATCCAGCATAGTATACATCATTATTATTAACAACATATCACCAATGCGAGGGTGGGTATTCAGTGCCTCTCTTGTGGACTTTCATAGAGTTCTGATCGAAGGAAAATTGTAGTCCCGAATCAGTTCTCAACCCAATCTGACATCATCAAGTTCCTGTTGGTTTCCTATAGTTCCTTCGGATGACCATCTATAATACTCATTGGTGATGTGGACTGGGTGCAGTGTGCTAACAAATCCACGAGCCGCAGTAGATTTGCTCAAACGATTCGGGAGTTCTGACAGTACAAACCCAACTCCCTCTGAATTCGAACTTCCTGAGTCGTTGGCGCAATACGGGAGGGCCTTTGCGCTGAAGACCGGCATCAACTAATACCAGTGTCAGTGATGGGAAGAATCGTTGACAGCTTGATGGCAACGCCTTCAACTTGAAAGCAAAGGAAGACAAAATCTATTTTTCTGAGGTCGTTCGAGCCCGCCTTGCTAAGAAAATTCCTAAAAAATTGGAGACTCTCGGGCGGTCAGTTCTTTTAGCTCCGCCTTGTAGCACTAATCCTGCGTCAACGAACGACTATCCGCTCTCCTCTCTCAATCACCTTCTGGAGAAGAAATCTCACTTGAATCACCATAAAGTCAAAATCGACATCCAATATTTCTCACACTAACCACCTTTTCTTCAAGCACTTCGACGCACTTCTACATTTCTTGAACGAGAAAACTTTGGTAATCAAACCCTGGAGGAAAGGGTTTTCGTTCAAAACCTCAAAATTTTACGCAACAGGAATGAGGCACTTATTCTTCGGTAGCGAAGGCGTGTGGATCCTGTTGTGATTATGTTTTGTTTTTGATTTACTGAGATACGTCGTTTCAAGAATAAAAGGAAAACTGATAGTGATTTCCGAACCAACTAATACTCTTAGTCGTAAAGATGAACATTGCAAACTCAAAGCGCTGCATGAATTACTTTTCTGCCGGGAAAGACACAAGACCTAAAGCTTGTCGTACGAGAGAAAGAGAAATGAGAAATGTATGGAATATACCACGTGAGGAAAAGTCAAAGGGTGCTCGAAAACTGGGATGGCTAAAGGATGGCTACGGAGAGTTACAAATATTTTCCCAAAGTTTTCAACTTCAGTTTCCTTCAAATTATGGAAGGATTCATTGGGTTAGAGTTCCTCTTTTGAAACCTATGCTGTGATCGCGATACGATTTCAGGATAAGGTTTTCTTGATATGGTTCGCCCTTAACAAGGATCCCTTCTCTTGTATTTTGAGATGAGGAGGGGACGTGCACTTCCTCTCTACGCTGTAATTCACACAAGCGCGATCTCCTCTGTTCGGCTAGCAATGGGGCGTGTCACACAAGAGGCGAAGGGACCAAAGCTGGCGACTATCCAACGCCTTATAAGGTCTTTTCAACGACGCTTTTTGCTCTAGTAACACTTCCTACTTCTCAAGTAGGGGACATGCATCTTTTCACTAAATTAGTAGCAATATGAAGCTCATATGGTGAATCGCAGTAAGAGAATTTTTCTTTAATGAATCCCATATGATTCGAAAATAACGTTATGCTTCCCTCAGAATTAAGCTTGAAAGGAAATCTCGGAAAACCGAATTAAAAATTTCAAAAAAAAATACTTACGCTATATTACACGTAGTAGTTTGGTGAAACAAAAAGATCTCTCAGCGCGCATAGTTGATCCTCATTGAACTGAGCCTCATGCTCACGCCATGAATCCTGATGTGTTCGCTTGAATTCTGACAGCGTTCGCTTAACAGTATCCTGAAAAGACTTATTGTAACTGAGAGAACTATTTATTCCTAAAAAGAAAAATCGAGTGATCAAGAAAAGATTTTCTCAGCAGAAACTCACTTTAATGGGCTGTTTCTCTGACGCAAATCGACACAATCGCATCAGGACATCAGGAAGATACGATGGCACCGTGTACGGAGCAGCGAGTACAATAGCTGACAGCCCAAGAACGCCACCGTGACGGATAATGGGATCCTTCGAGTTCGCACGATCGCTGAATGCGGCCTGAAAAATGGATTTCGGAAGAAATTTACTTCGCATTGCAAGAATTATTTCTATGATTTGATCAAAAAAGAGTTATTCAGTTGGATCAACTTATTAACACGAATGATAGAAGCAGTGAGCTAATAGTACACTAGGAGCAGCCGGATCAAAAAGGAAAGACTGAGTGTAAGGGACAAAGGGGCAACATTAGAGGGTAAAGCGATGAGCACATATGGATGGAAGACAAGAGCTGGTAGAGAAAAGTAGACGCTGGGACAAGAAACGAAATTCGGATGGATAGAAACTACTTAGATAAGAAAGTATTGATCGGAAGAAGAAACACTAAAGAAGATGTTCTTCTGGAGGAGTCGGTGGTGGATGGATACTACCATGTAGAGAGAACAAGTGCTGATATAACACGGAAAATAGCCCTAATCATTGTGGAATCATTATCATGGAGTAACTTAAGCACGCAGTAGCACAAATGAAAAACTCACCAACAATTCCGGGGTTACTGCGAAAAAAGAGCTTTGTATCAAGCCAGACAGGGTATTCGCAGCGGTTTGACGGACTTCTAATTGGCATTCGCTAAGGCAGCACATCAGAAGTTGTCCTAAACTTGCTTATATGAAGCAGAAAAAAATGAAACAAGTTTGAACGCAGTATGCAAAATTACACACCTATGTCTTCTTGCACAGTAGCAAATACGTACTGATTGGAGAATACTAGCACTTTCATCAACCAAAGCAAGGTAACTTTAGATTTCCACCAACACGGTGACTGGAGGATCTGTAAAAACAGCGCACATGGTCAGAGATTTCTTTACCTGACGGTCATCCTGCATAATGACACAAAATAAACAATGATCTGGTGCCGTATCTATGCTCTCCCAACAAGGGAGAGTCTCCCTACTGGACAAGATCCCCCGCCGCAGCAGCCCAGAAAGCGGTCGTGCGGTGTTCGCGGAGCTCCCCTTGTGATGCAGACATAGTATAGTCTGGGGTTTTGAGTGGTCACCATAAATAGCCAAATGAAAAGAGATGGATCACCTGACGAAACACTTGCATTATGCATGGCAAATGAGCAGCTGGGATGTAAGTCGCCTGCAGTAGCTTGGACAGCAAAGAGAAACACTGCTTGTACAATTCTTCATCACTGGAACATGGAATGATAAATATAAATATTTACAGAAACAACATAAGCTCTAGAAATGTGTCAAGGAAAAAAGTTGACCATGGTCAACAACTCCACCAGCAGAAATTATTGATAGCCAGAAACCTTTCCATATTGCTTGCGCATAAAAAATTACGAATGGGACGTTGAAAAAAGAAGCAGTGGTGAAGAATAGCAAAAGAAAAGTGTGAAGTAGATACTCACTGCATCTAGTACCACTACATTATAGCGCGTTTGATTCATTTAAGAACAGTTTCATAACACATGATTGATAATCTGTATGAACCTACCCGACATCGTTACTGTAGTGACAAAATATGGGCAAAAGCTGTAGAATTGACGGAGGCAACGAGGTAAGTGACTGTCCGGCAACATGCAAAGTGAAGGATAGTGCTCCTTTGAGAGCCAGACGAGCAGCTCTTTTGACTTCAGACTCTCCAGTTCCATTCTTCAAGAAATTTTTCATGTGCACATAAAATGATCCCGTTAAAAATAAACGCTAACCAGCTCGGTGGTTTCTGAACAACTATTCCCATTGTTGATCCGTGTTTCCTTCCCAGCACGCGCCCATCTAGAAATGAAACCAGGTTGCACTACTTCATCAATATTGGAGGTCACATAAAAATGTGCCGTCTCTCGAAGTGCACAAACTTACGAGGCCACTTTAAAGTATAAACATACATGTTGATTATACAATCCGATGCAGTCTGCTACGGTAGGAGCACGCAGCGAGTCAGGTATACTAGGACTATAGTAGATTGTTGGCAAATCGAACCAAGAAGCTGTCACAAGTGATCTGTAAAGGGTAAACTTTTATCGGAGAACGTCTGGTATCCTTCATGGAATGGGTCATACGTGCACAGTGTGGTACAAATGTTATTCTGTACCTATCGAGAAAAAAAGAAGCTACTAAGGAATTAGGAAATATGAATCCTCTCTTCACACCCCTGAGAAGTTGTTATGATAGGCGTGCGTGTTGGGACAAATTTCCCGTACCACTAACGCCATTCTAGCTGCGCTGCGGCAAAGCTGGCGCGGCCAAAATTGTTGCCGTGCTTTTTTAGCAGCGTCAGCGTTGCAGCACATAGCGGAAGACGGCCTTGCGGCAAGGAGTGCAGCTTCAAAATCATTTGATGCTTCCTTTCATGTCGCGGAAACGCACGACATCAATGCTTTCCCGCGAGCATACAGTTCACGTCTCGCCGTCTGATAAGGTGTGTCATCGGAAGTGACATGGCGGCCGCCGCACTTGATAGAAGTCGCGCGGATAAGCTGTTTCAACATACTTCGCTGGAAATCAGCAAAACATGCTGGAAGCAGCTTATCCACGCGACTTCTTTCAAGTGCGGCATCCGCCACATCACTTAAGCTGACACACCTACTCAGACGGCGAGATATGGACTGTACCATGAGCGGTGACGGAATCGGTGAGTGTGCCTAATCCCGGACCATGCTTCTAGTAAACCACCACCCTGGTTTGCCGCTTTGTCGGTGCATATGTCGATTTGTCCGTCCGCTCACAAGATTGCCCTTGGGTGTAATAAAGATGGGAAGGATATGAAAAACCTAATGCTGTCATAACAAGGGATGTACCACAGGTTAAGCAGTATCAAAGCTCATGATAATG